TTCCCTTTCTTAAGTATCTTTACTGTACTTCTCTTTGGGGTACCCCTTTTCTTTGCTCTTGCAGCTCCCCTTTTAATATGTCTCTCACGTGCAAGGCTGGTCACATTGAATGTGAGTGAGCACCAGCTGCCCACATCCCCATGTGCCTTAATGGTACACTTGCACGTTCTGATAGGAGGCAGCATAAAGGGGGGCTATACTCCTACACATTTTTCTTAAGATCTTCAGCTTGTATTCTTTCTATTCTCTTGAATGATTCTAATGAACCCGGTCTCGTTGAGAAGCCAGTCAGCAATGCAATAGACGTCTGAACCTAGCGCACCTAATGAAGTCTCCGAAATCAATTACAAGTTCTCTGTCTCGATCATATGCACATTTCAAGAGCAGTGAACAAAGAAAGGCAAGGCAACAAACGGAAGAGGGAAAGAAAGGAAGAAAGGAGAGACATGTCTGATATTAATATAAATATAAACGTTCTGGACTCCAATATTGAACAACTGGAAAAGTCCTTGAGGCAAGAGCGAGAAAAGAAGAAAGACTATTTGATGCAGCAAGAAGAGGAGAGAATTCAATAAGAAAAATTGATGAGGAATTTCAGGAATCAGAAGAAGAACCGGATATGGCGTCATTGATGCGGGCTGTGTTGCAATATCTCGCCCTACTAGAAGTGAAGTTGGATAAGGTCATTTCAGAAAAAGGAACAACCAAGTGCTGATCTGACCAGTTTGACCAACGTGCGGTAAAAGGGAAGATGAAGTTAGAAAAAGATGAGACCAAGGGCGAAGAGAGACCGAAGGAGAAATGAATGGGTGACACCATGAAAACTGCACAACCCGCTAAAGGGGAAAAGAAAAAATGAAGTTGCCCTTCACATATTATGGTTCCATTTACTGTTGTGGATAGCTGAATCCAGACTTACTGTTCGACTTACCCCAGTCGCCGAGGACAGTCAGGTTGGCCTTCACCACTTCTTGCTGCTTGGAGATGTTGCCAAGGAGTGGGTATTGTCTGAGGCACAAACACGGCTGGATTCGATGACGCCTGGGATTGGGCGAAAACTTTTGACCTCAAAGGACTTCCTGAATTAAATTAAATTAAAGAAATAATCCTTGACGAGACCACCATCAATAAGGACTTTGACGACCTTACCACAGTAGGATAGCGTCGTTGGACCACCGTTGAAGCACTCTCACAGGAACTCGATAGATTGCTTCAAGTACCTGGACTGAATACCCACGACGATCAGGTACTTTATATCTACTCCCATGCTTTGCCCGAACCTATTAGGGGAGAACTGGTCGCCGAAGCAAAATCTGGTAAGCATAAGTATCGACAGTTTAAGGACCTGGCTTTGTAGAGAGAGCAAATGACCTTGCCGGTCAAAGGTACGTATACCGGTGTTATGAAGGGGGGGCAGTCTAGTGGGACCGGAAAACGGATTTTGTGGAGGCAAAAATGGCAGGCCCACCTCCTTGTCGTTTTTAATGACGAGACCATGGAGAGGTGGCCCCTCAAAGAGAATGAGAATGAGGTGGGACAAGCAACAACGGTGAAAAGAAAAAAATTTGATCTTCGGCAGTGAGGTCAAAATCGTGATTTTGGGGGCTAACTAGTGTTCTCTAATCAGTCAATCAATCAAGACTAATCAGCTACCTAGTCCCCCGCACACGTGTCGGATCACATTGTCCTGATTCACGTGCGGTGTTCCAATACCAACTGTTACATGCCCAGTTGGGCGATGTACATATAAACCGAGGATCCGCAATGTGATAAAAAGGACTGAATGGGCAATGCAGTGCAAGTGGGATCTCAACAAGCAATGTGCATTCCGATACATACAAAATGGTGTTTTATAGCGCAGTGGAAGATTTAGATACAAGTCCTGACCTGACCGGGACTCCCCATTTTCACGTAGTACAAGATGGCGAAGCAGAATGCTAGAGTACTAATGACTAGCCCAATCAATGTTTCAACGCAGACCAAACATACTCATCACAAGGTGTGAAGGGGCCTGGCGCTATACACAGGAAAGAGGCGCCAGGTCCAGACGTACACAGACGAAGAGGAGGGGATCAGACGAAGAAGAGGAAGGGGGAGATGGGAAAGTCGTCAACACCAAGTCTCGTTACAAGTCCCAAATAATCCCTCTTCAAAATGTCTGAACTCCAACGTCGAGTCTGGATCCAAATGTCACCAAGCTCTCTCTCTCTCCCTCGTAGTCTGCTGATGCAGTGAAGTCAAGATAGCGAGAGGGTGAGAAGGAGGTGGTGGACTGAGAAGAGGAAGAAGAAGAACTCTCTCTCTCATGTGCCAGGTACTAACCTGTGAAGATGGCGCTGTGCTGCAGGTACCTCGAAGACGAAGCTGGAGCAATGACGCTGCAGGTAAGTCCCTCTGGCCTCCGCCCAATCTCTCTCTCTCTAGTACTACTCTAGCTGCTATGGCGCCCAGCGCTGAAGACTACAGCTAACGCTACTAGCGCCCAGCGCTGAAGACTACTGCTAACGCTGCTACTACTCCTGCAGTGCTCCTCCAGTGTGCTGCTGCCGATTCCTGAAGACTACCTCCTGCCTCCTGAACTCCACGTGAAGTACCTGGGAAGTACCTAGGAACTACCTGCCTGCCTGTAGGGCGGGCCAGTCCTATATAGTACTAGCCCGTTCAGGAGGCTGCTCTTGCCAATGCCGAAACGTGCCAGACCCTGGCGTTGAAGCTCAACCAGGGGTTGTCTCGAAAACAGGCCCGAAATGGCCTGTGCTAAAACCCTGGTTTGTTGCCTGAGTTTCAGGGCAGGTCGAACTGATGAGGGCCCGGAAATGGCCCTCAGTTTCAGGCTAAGAACACTCAGGGCTGGAGAGGCCCTGATTTAGACTGAAACGACACAGGGCCTGTAGGCCCTTGTTTTCAGGCTTCCAGGCTGAAACGACACAGGGCCTGTAGGCCTGAAAACATCACGGGCCTGGGAATGGCCCGTGCAGCCTGTTGCAGGCGCAGCATGTAAGCTGTACCTCGATCAGAACACTGTGTGATAGGAGTGGGGGACTGCGCCCCTCTGTCGAGATTAGGCACACACATAGGGGTATCATGCGCCAATTTTGTATACGAACCCACCGCTGCATCTTGGGACGGTTGAGGGGACGCAGTGCCAGCACGTGAAATGTACACGAAAAAATCGCCAGCGGGGACCGGTGATCCGCAGGGGTCCACCATGCTGGTGTCCCTTCTTTTTCATCACAAATGGAGCCCCACAGGGTCTGCCATGCTACGAAAACAAAAATTGTCCTGAAAAAAATGAATGAATTTCAATGAAAATGAATGGACAAGTGTGTGTGTGTGTGTGTGTGTGTGTGTGTGTGTGTGTGTGTGTGTGTGTGTGTTGTCAAAGAACCCCAAACTCTCTCCTCATTCCATCCATCCTCAAACCATTCATAAAACAAGGAAGGTATAGATAGGGAATATAATCGCTTTGGCTGACATACCCGTCTGCATGGTTAAGCGCCAAGTGCCCACATACCCGCCCGCCGCCAGAGCGGCACACTTGCACATATATATCGCTTTGGCCCACAAGTGGCAGCGCATAGATTAAAAATGAACCAAATCGGCGCAGTGATTTATTTCAGTCTTTTTTTTTCCATTTGTTTTATTTTTTCCTGGAAAGATCAGGACCTAATCTACAAGACATCATATTTTAGATATTTCTGTGCATTCTTCTGTGCGGCAAAACCACCAAAGTTGGCGCCCGTTTTTTTTTTTTTTTTTTGAATTCCCACTGACCTCGCTTTCTTCAGGTCTACCAGCTCCAGTGGTCCCGGAAAGCCAATTTTCAACTGTAGGGGGGAGTGGTGGTTTGAACCACCACTACCCCCGCCGGCCTCAATTCGGCTTTCCTGGCCTTACGGACCGGGTTCTTAGAGGGGGCGGCAACCGGCAGGCACAGGAGGGTTCGGTCCAAGGATTTTCGCACACCAACTTCGGCGATTTTCAGTGCTCAGAAGAATTGACCGAAAAAACTGAAAATTTGAGGTCCTGTAGATTAGGTTGTGATCTTTCCAGGAAAAATATTTAAAAAATGAAGGAAAAGAAAATAGACCGTGAAATAAATGCCGCGCCGTTTCGTCGGACTTTCCATTTTTGCCACTCTGCCACGTGTGGGCCAACCCAACTTTTGCGATTTTTCGTGCTCAGAAGGATGACTCGACAACTCTGACAATTTCCTGGTCCGTAGATTTTGTCGTGATCTTTATAGGAAAAATATTTAAAAATAAATAAATAAATTATTTTAACCACGAAATAAATCGCGAGGGCAATTCGACGCATTTTCAAATTTTGCCACTCCGCCAGCTCCCCCCACTGTGCTACCGGTAGCCCTCATGGACCTGTGCTACCAGTCACCCCTTATTTATGACAGCGGGGGTAGTGGTAGTTTAACAAACGGCAACTGTACAGAACACACAAAATCAATGCACACAAAAGGCTCCACTAACAAGAAAGAACCCATCATGCCTACAATTGGTCTGAAAAAAACTTAGAGAGCCCTCTGAGCTGGCCCACCAAGCCACCATAAATCAAAAAAACACCACAGGACCGCTACACAGCGGCTCAGGGATACAGACTCCCGAGTCACCATGTGCATTCTTTTAGTAAACCCCTCTCTCATGGATGCTGTTGATGATCAGTCTAAAGGGTTGTTTCCAAGTTGTGGAAACCCTTGAGTGGCATCATGCCTCTCTCTCTCTCTCTCTCTCTCTCTCTCTCTCTCTCTCTCTCTCTCTCTCTCTCTCTCTCTCTCTCTCTCTCACACACACACACACACACACACACACACACACACACACACACACACACACACACACACACACACAGAGCACATTGGGCACACACAGCATTAGCAAGCAACAATGAGCACATGCAACCGGTGAGGAAGCCCAGGCGCCCACGTACTAGAGACATCCACACCATCAAGCTCTTAACTTCTCACACTACAAAGAGAACATACAAGAGAAATGTCGCAAGTACACCAGACTGAAAAGTGCCACAAGCAGCATAACCCTGAATTTCTCATGATAAAGAGAGAAAGTAGAATAAAACTGGCACTGCACATCCCCACATTGAAAACAAATCTGGGCAACCAAAACAGAATATCAAAAATTGAAAAGTCAGCACACTCCAAAGAATGACGATAGCCTCTTTGTCTAATCCCTCAACTGTTTCATGCCACACTTAGATTTTACCCCTCCCCCTCCCCCCTGCTTCCCTCCGCCCCCAAAAAAAACGTAAAGATTTAACAAAGCACGCTTGCCCTCTTTCTTCTCCTTCTGAGCCCACACTTCTTGATTTGCATTCACAATCCTTTTGAACCACCTGCCACTGAAAATATTATCTCCCATGAAGCAACAACCATATGCTTCCCTCTCCCCCAAACAGGTGGGCGAACACCCACCATTAGTTGTGCAATGCTGTGATCGCAACCCTAAAACCGACTTCCACGAAGAGGAGAGCATCTCCCTCAGGCCCACACTCATGGACAGAGTCCCCATGTCTGGCAGGGTGTCGCCATTGCAGTATGAAAACCACCCGCCCCAGAAACAGCCTTTTCCACAAACCAATGGTGATGCGTCCCTCAGCTCCAGCCAGACATACACAGTCACCACTAGTACTCAGGAGATGGCACCCGTCAATCTATCCATCCATCCATCCATCCTACCTGTTTGTCCACAGATAACACACACACACACACACACACACACACACACACACACACACACACACACACACACACACACACACACACACACAGTTTCAGGGGAGCTTAGGAATCATGATAATCGCCAGCATCTTCTCATTTGGCCTTCAGCTTCACATGGAACGGCCTTGGTCGAGCTGCTGCCTTCTGTGTTCGTCTGAGAGTCGCATCCATCTGGATGGAGAAGAGAGAGAGAACCAGTGCCAAGTACAGTGTCACCAGCATACGCACCTCCCCGTCCTCCTTCGTCTTCGAGTACGATGCCTTCATAATACCCCATAGAATCAACATCATACTAAAAAGGCTAATGCGGTTGGGGTAGAACGGTGACACTAGTGCCCCAATGATCGCAAGCACGCAACCAAAGAACAACTGCACACAATAGCACAATAGCAGAACACCAAACAGACAATCAGTTCTATTGAGCCCCTGTTCAACCGCATACAGCAGCAAAAAGAGACTCAGAAAAAAAAACAGCCTTCCAGTTAAACCAGCAGTGCAGTCAATTCTTCCTCACAGTCATCTCCACAGCAAATGGCCACTTTGTCATCCCAGAAAAAACAGAAATGATAAGGATCTATCACAACACATTACTCCGCCTCTTTTTTTTTTCCCCCCTCGTGTTCCTGAGTCGTTACACTCTTTCAATTTTCAAGTGATAACTCGACAAGGATAACATATTAATATGCACGCTTGCACGTGTGAGCACAGACCCTCACACCCTCACACCCACCCACACACACACACACACACACACACACACACACACAATCATTTCTATCTATGTACTTCTTTGTTTTCTGTATTCCCTTTTCCCGTTTTTCTCGCAGTATTTTTTGTGCGACGAAGCGCGCACTTCTGAGCACTGCCAAACAGCCGTTGGTTGCTTGTTTGGAGTGCCTACTGCACTATTAGGGGGCGTGCTCTGTTCCTGATGTCTGTGTAGTGCATATGATCTATGGGTGATGACAGACATGCGTCGGAGTAAACTCCCTGGCTCAGCGGGTGGTCAGAACCAACAGTCTGCGGGGTTCACTCGTGATGTGAGTAGGCGATGTGCCACTTTACTCCATGTTGGATGTGTGGACTGCCTTGTCTTCTCTCCACTGCTGCTTTGCTGCCAATCACGTATATATATATATATATATATATATATATATATATATATATATATATATATATATATATATGCTGCGTCATTGGCATTGCCTTGTGCTTTGCTGTGTTGCTGCCTTGCCGCCCATCGGCATGCATTGCCTTCCGTGTTCTTTGCTTGTGTGCCATGTAGTTTGGCTGCTTTGATGGTGTTGCCTTGTAGTTTGGCTGCTTTGATGGTGTTGCCTTGTGCTTCATTGTGCTATTCCCATGCTTCTCATCCGCTTGTGCTGTCGTTCATGCAGTTAGTTTTGGTGTTGTGCAGATGGACTTCCCCGGCAGCATTGCCTGGTGCTTCACTGAGTTGTTGTCTGCTGCTGTATTCCGCTTGTGGACAGTCTGCTTTCAACAAGGATCAAAGGGTTCATGACTCAAACCATGAATACGGGGATTCCGCAGATTGTCAAGGGTTCAGCCTCCTGATGAGTCGGTGCAACTTTGATGAAACAATCTTTCATAATCAGTTGTTATTCTTTTCACTGTTTTGGTTTTGTACTTGAACATCTCTTGCCTGCTACTTGTTGTCTTTCCTTGCTTTGTGTGCTTGTGCATTGTTTGCCCTCCCACCTCCCCCGCGCTCTCCAGCCTATGTGTTGCCTCCATGCTTTTGCCTTGCTGCTTTTTTACCTGCCTGCTTGTTGTCTTCTCTCTGCCTCGTGTGCTTGTGTGTTGTCTGCCCTCCCACCTGCCCCGTGCCCTCCAGCCTATTGGTTGCTAGAAATACTGTGTTTGCTTGTGTGTCGAAAAGACGAATGTCATCGTTCGGTTCATGGCCAGTATGTTAAAGACCAGCAGTCTATTACATGGCTAGAGGTATGCTGATGGACGGTGCGACAAGCCGTCTGTGTACGGAGCCGTAGCGCAGTATGCTATAAGTAATAACACACACACACACACACACACACACACACACACACACACACACACACACACACACACACACAGAGTGAGTTTTCTGGCTGTGGACAGACTAGTTTCTCAGACTTTCTGGTCAGGAGTTTGGACTGACAGTCTGCTAGGATTGCAGAGTTGGTGGGCGGTCGCCCACTTTTCTCAGGGGTCTTGCTAACTCTGGTCGATGTGGTGAGTCCTTATCCCTCAGTCACATGCATCAGACTGTCGGGGTTCAACGCCTGATGAGTTTATGAAAGTCTGACAAAACATTCAGGCACAGTCATGCTTCTTTTCTTTTGTGGAGTCATGTACATTGAACATGGCAGCACACACACACACACACACACACACACACACACACACACACACACACACACACACACACACACACAGGGCGTCCATGTACAGCACACGCTGCATAGATGTTCATGGCTGTGATCACAGGTAAATGAGTGCACCCAACCTTGCTCGCCCTGAGCAAAATTCATCGCATATTTATTTATAAGTTCACCGAGGATGAGTTGAGTCAATTCTCATATATGAATCATCCTTCGGCCTTAAATGTCAAATAAGAGAGGCCTCTGCTTCCCGTTGCGCCTTTGGCTCCACTCTGACAACATCTACGGATTTAATACATATACTAGATGACCCATTGCGGCTTCGCCCGCAAAAACAGAAAAAGAAAAAAGCACAAAAGAAAGAAAACGCATAAGGAACTGCCCTATCATATGCCGCTTCTTTCACAATAAGAAGAGCCTGAGAGCAGATGAAAACCCACGTGCAAGAAAATAGCAGGGAATACCACCGAACATTCTTTTTTCTTTATCTTTGCGTGTTTTGTTTGGGGAGCCGTTACCTTTGCAGCATCGTTCTTGTTTTGTGCTGTGCAAGAACTCTGGACTTTTCTGAGAAAATCCAGTCCGTCGTCCCGTTGATGTTTTTGGTAAAGATTCAGAATCAGACTTTGTTTGCTGTGTTCTCTGGATATGTTTGTGATCAAGCGATCTTGCATGTATGCCCCGTGCTTACTTGTTGATTTTTGACGCTATGCGTGCAAGTGCATGCACGTGTGGGCAAGTCTCAGTTTGGTGGGCTCCGATGATGTCAGTGATGATTGGCCCTGGGAAGTTGTTGGAAGGCGCCTCCAACTATAGGAGTGCCGCTGATGTTAAGCAGGTTTTGCATTGTATGAATGAAACAATCAGCATTCAATCTGCTTGGCAGTTGCTCTTCGGGTGGGGTACTTGTCGGGAGTAGCATTGACATGAGAGCCATAATGCCGGGCGTGCATCTTGGAACATTTCCAGGAAGGCAAAAGGCAAAAAAGAAACGTAGCACGTCTCAGAGTCACATAATGGACAGCTTGGCACAGTCCCCCCCCTTCTCTCTCTCTCTCTCTCTCTCTCTCTCTCTCTCTCTCTCTCTCTCTCTCTCTCTC